CAAGCATAAAAATATGGATATAAAATAACCTAGGTATGAGGTCACTATAAATTTGCAACTTTTCCTACTGATTTCAATACAACTAGAAAAACAAATGCTCGACAAAAATACAAGGAACTACTAGAAAAAGTTTGTTTAGGATGTAAGCACTGAACATAAATGTTGTCATAGTTATCATTGATCCCTTCATTTTATGTGCTTTAAGACTACCATATAAGTTGAAATAAAAAAATAGACTAAGGATTAGTAAAAATCAAAGTGGAAAAATGTTTTAAAAAATCTATGTCATTATTCCAACCAAAATAGGGCTAAAATTAAACAATAATTGAATAAGAAGTGGTCTATATACTAAACTAAGAAGCATGGATTTAAAAAATCATTCTGGTAATGAATGCCAAGAAAATGGAATTTTTTGCTCATCTTGAAATAAAATTGTCATTCTAGGTCAATATCAAAATAAATATACTAAACTACGATGCTTGTGAGGTAAATAAACAACCCTCACTCCATGAGGAAATTAAGAAAAAAATATAGAACTATGGACCCATCTTGTTTTGTTCGTAAACAAAAATAAATTAAGAAACAAAACAACTGGAATGGAAATACTACTAGATCTAAAGGTAGACATAGTGGCAATTAATTTGTATTACCTGAAACCAAGCTTCCTTTTAGTAACACATCTTGATGATGCCACTCTACTTTTGTATCTCTTATTTAGTGTATCGAGCATATATCATCAGAAGTTTAGGTTTCCAACAAATAAGTTCATTGATGAATTCCTTGCCACAACATATTTTAGCATGTTGTTTGCACTTTCGGACCTTTGGGTGCTTGCCATGCCACCTCATGATTGTCCCATGTTGTAATGCTTGGCCCAATTTTTCTCTCGTCATATGCATTGACCAAGAAATGATGCTCCACCAAATAATACTTATTAAGCAACTACCCCCAAGTTGCTTCAAATCCATTAATGGTTAACATTTCGCTGGTCACCATGTGGAACTCATCTAACAAGATCCATCCTCCATATAGATTGGTTCTAATTCTATCCTTGCATATAGAACACATGCCATTTGCACAAAAGATATAATGGTCTATGCATCACTTCTTTTATTTCTATCTCCACAACCATGTAGTGATCTAAAAAGACAAATCATTAGTTTTATACATCCAACAATCAACCATTCAACAAAACTTTTTCAGTAATCTAAAATGTTGTAGAAGAACATGAAAACTAGTTTATTACTATTGTTTGTGGCTACAACACAACCCATTAGTATCAACAACCCTTTGAACAAACACTCATATTTCTTAACCTTTTCATCATGCATTAACACACTTGCAAAACATTGATGAAGAGTCCAAATGGCATTTTGTATAAGTTCCTGTAATATGAGCTGTCAATTGTCATGACATTGCCAAAAACGACTTCAATTGTGTTAGTTCTTTTCACTTGCCCAAATTAAGGATTTATTTTGGTCCATGCTATCAAGATCAACCTCGACTGAAGTCTTGGGTCTTTAGGTGTCTTCTTAAAAAAAGATCAAGTGTCTTTCTTATACAATCATAGGTCTCTCATAGTGCATAATGACATTCTATTGAAAGGTATGTTGACCATGCTCCAGAATAGACATTCCATTTTATGCAATGAATCCTGCTTAGTGTGATATTATTCTCACATAAGTACTTGAGCAATTGTCATGAGCATCCACCTATCTTCATATGAGAATTCCATTACCTTTTATCACCATCTATAGCTCTTATAGCTCTTGGTTGTGTTCCTTTGACATGTATTGAAATAAGCCAACCATCATCATCAGTGCGCTGTAGCCTCGTGGTTAGAACCTTTGTTCTTGGTTTCAGTTTGTTTTTCAAAATCGTGCATAGTGATGGTGTAAACTGGTCCACTTAATGCTATGGTTGTCTCATCTTGTAACATTAATAGCCAAACAAAATTATCAACCTCTATAAACAACATACCTCATAGTTTGATAACCATCATTGTTCTTATTAATGTTTCCTTTGTCAATACCAAAAACCGCCTTTGACGAGTAAAGTTTGTAGAATTGTGAATTACCTTTGAAATCAAATGTTAAATCAAGCGTGGTTAAAAAGTAACATACAATTAGACTGCCTACATTTGAATCATGGTACTTTCTCATTGTCCTCTCAATTATTGCACCCATTCTCAGTGTTGTCTACATTTTGCATATTGGGCACCATCTTTTGGTCTCCTTCTTGAAGAATAAGGAATTTAGTTGTATTTTGCACACATATAATGATTTACATTATGTGATGTGAAAGTGGATACTAAAAGTGTGCACACACTTTAAGGTTCAATTACGTAAATAGTACATATGGTTGTGTAGTAGGACGAATGTTAATGTAAATAGTTACATTCAATTCAAACCTTTTTCTTCCATTCTTGTGTGCCCATGCTGCATCATTTATTGACATATGCCCATTGTCGTTAATGCCAAAAAGTTGAAAAACTTGGTTAAATTTATGTGCCATTTACTTCTTGAATTGCCAACATCTCCTACTTTGACCAATTCAGCAGTTAAGAAAAACCTATATATTTTAGTCAATTTGTGCAATTCCTTTTAGTTAGGTATCCTAATTTTGTTGGTAAGCACCATATACCTCCTGAAGTTCTGAAATGCCATCTTCAAACACAAGTTTCTAACATCTTTTCTTTAATTTCCTTGTAATCATTATCCCCATTATCATTTTTAAATTCATGCCAGGGCAAGAAATAGAGACAAAGTATGTCTTTTCCTATAAACTCAGTAGTTGCATAACTCTTGTGTGTGAGTTTTCCTTTTTCCACATTCCCACATGTCACACTCACACCATTTTTTTTAAAAGATCCGGCTGAGCCAACTTATATTAATAAGAAGGGAACAAATTTATGCACCAGAGGCATAGTACAACTAGAAAAACCTTATTCAACAAGGATTACCGGATAAGTTGTGAAGCCTAAGGGATAACTCGCAATTGGAGAGACAACAGGAAAAATGAAACAAGAGAAAAATATCTACATTCCTATAACTCCTATTCATCTCCATCTTCAGCTCCAGCTAGCGTGGTGTAGTTGCTCCTTCTATCCTAGAAGCACTCACACCATAAGGTAATTCTTTGACAGAACACCCTATACCTACACAATCATATAGTAGTACTCCCTCTATCCGAGAAAACAATGCATTTCTAGCATAGTGCTTGGTAAAATCATCTTAAGTTTGACCCAATTTTATATAAAGGGCAACAAAATTTATCATACTGATTAAAAAAAGAATCATTAGATCCGGCATGAAATATATTTTTATATACCATACATATTTGAAATCGTAAATGATACTAATTTCTATTCCCTCCATTCTAAATTGCAAGTCATTTTGGCTTTTCTAAATTCATAAGTTTTACTATGTGTCTAGATATAGTGTATATCTTGATGCACAGCAAAAGTTATGCACCTAAAAAAACCAAAAAGGAGTACAATTATTCCGGTTGTAGCATTGTACATTTCTTGATATTTCCTCAACCGAATTAACTCCGCTGACCCATGCTCCTCTCATTTTTTTCATTCAGTTTTGGTTCCACATTACCAAATTGAAGCAGCAAGTGTACTAATAGCAGCCTCAATATGTTGATAGCCCCTCTGGTCACAGGTAGGGGCGGATTCAGTACAAATTCTCGAGTATTCATATGAATACCCAACAATTTAGACAAAACATTAGGTGTATATATATTATATTAGGTGTAAATGTGTATACGTTAGTTAGTTGTGCTTCGTTTTTCTTATTTTCTTGTCATTTGTTTATTTATTATCAAAAAACGCATCCTCCAGCCTCCTCCCACCACACTCCACCATCAAGCCTTTCCTCAGGCCCATCAAAATTGCCATTCGCCAACAAGCCCATGAGAATAATCTTCTTCACCGAGACTCTCATCACACATGGTGGTATTGATGCCGTCAGTCCTCACTCCTCACGCGCTCCTAATCTTGTCGTCTCTTCCGCAATCCCCACGGGAACACTAGGACGGCTGCTAGACACACCGACATGCACACAGGCGTTAGTGGCGTCATGATAATATCCAACCATTGGTATACGACTTTGTTCTATGACAACCCTGAAATCCTAAATCCATCACTAGTCATGGGCAAGGGGCGGAGCTATGTGCACTTACCGGGGTCAGCCAAGCCCTATAAGGGCTCGTTTGGTTTAGCTTGAACGAGGCCCAAGCGATTCCGCTTTGATGAAGCTTATATAAATTTGATAACCAGTCCAGCCGGGAATCTTTTAAGGGAGTCATTCAATCCCTTGCAACCGGACATGCCCTAAATTTTAGCAAATCCTACACAGATTCATTGTTTGCAAGTAGATTTTGTGCATTGATCAGTGAAGTTCACCCCGATGGCTTTGATGCCTGGCTTCACCCCTGGTCACGGGGGTTTGTAAGAAATTAAATCCACTCTCGATTCTTTAATTCAAACTTTTGATGTTGGACTCCATCTGTCACAAAATTGAAGTTGATTAATCGATGTATCACCAATCGAGAACTCTTAGATTTTGATTTGAGATGGAAAACTAAATCTGCTAAAGGAAATTAACTTGCAGGAATTAGGGCCTGTTTGGAACGCGGGAAAATTTTTCAGTTCCTGTGTTGCGCGATTCCTGTGAAATTCATGCATTCCAAATGGGCCCTTAGCTTATTATGCTATATATGAAGGGAAAGGCTTTTCATATCCTGGCCAACAAGCCAGTACATCACCTGGGTACAAGGACTCAAGAAAGAAGTCCTATGGTAAGACTAACTGTGATGTCCTGACCACCAGTCTTTTATTACAAGGAAGAAAATATGGGGAAAAAACGATGCGAAACCTAGGGAATATGTTGTTGTTGACTGCTGTTTATTTGTCTCATGACACCGCTGGGGCGCTGGGGTCCCAAACTGTTTATTCTCTTTTGTTAACTATAGTTGAGTGAGATGAGGCGAGCTCAGGCCGGCGGCAGCTGCAGCCGGAGGCCGCTCGACCCGGTCTGGTCGCCGCACGGCTGCTGCCTGACGACCGGCACCGGCTCGAAACCGAGCGTGAGCTCCAGCCCGACCTTCTCTTCCTCCTGATACGCTACCAGCACCTGGTTGCCGAGTGGCGGCTCGGCCTCGGCTTGGATCACGTGGGAGGCCGCCGCCTCGACGTCGGTGTTCTCCTTCGATCCCTTCAGGTGGTGGCCGTGGCTGCCCACAAACTCCTCATTGCGGCCGCCGTCGTGCTCAAGCAGCTCCATGACCATCGGCACCTGTTCCAGTTCCTCCGCCTCTTGTTGTTGCCCCAAAGGAGGGCTGGGCGACGCGCGCACGTTCTTGGTGGCCTTGCCCTTGCCCTTGAGGAGCTTCGCCTTGGAAGCGTAGGAAGACGAACCCTTACCGCGCTTCAACCCCGTGCGGCCGGCGCGAGCGAAGCGGAGGAGGTCGGCCGCGGCGGCGGCGTCGGAATTCTTGGCGAAGTGGCGGATGTCGTAGGCAGCCGACGACGACGCGCCTGGCCTGGCGCCGAGCGGCGGCGGCGGGGCCGCGGCTGCCTCGGACGACGCTGCGTCGACCTGCACGACGTCGACCGGTACCCCGAGTTCCCCCTTGAACACGGCCTCGACGGCGTCGACGCACTTCGGCCACTGGCCCGACCAGAGCAGGCCGACGGCGCCGTACACCGGGTTGACGATGCGGCCGCACGCCTCGTAGAGCAGGGAGCGGAAGACCGCCTGGCCGCCGGCGTCGTCGGGCGCGGCAGCGATCAGGTTGAGCAGCCCCGCCCGGCCGTAGAACTTGGCGAGGAAGACGGTGGCGTTGCCCTGCGCCTCGGGGTTCTTGTTCTTGATCCACTGCAGGCAGGGGCGGATGGTGCAGTCGTCGCTGCAGCCCTTGCGCAGGGCGCGGCAGCCGTTGCAGCTGCTGACCATCCGCATCTTCGCCGCCCCTCCGGCGGTGGAGGTGGATCCACTCATCGGGAGCATGCTTCTTGCCGAGTTTGCTATCCTATACGAACCCGGCCGCGCGGCCCACGTTGTTGGAGAGGGGGAGGGCGTGTGTGGGCGGTTTTATAAGCGGAGACCGCAGGGCGGTGGGCTGCTGGCTGCGCAGGGCGCCAATGGTTTTGCTGGGGTGGGGGGAGGCGGATTCGGCGTCCGAGGAAATGGATTCCACTGCAGTAATAGCGAGGCAACTGGAGATGGCCGAGAGGAATTGAAGTCCGCAGAACAATCCAAAAGGGTGTATCAAAATGGTGGACAAGAGACGAAAGATCGGCTGCACGGGCTATCTTTTATATTTAATGTAACATTGAGAAGCCTAAGTCAGATTTCATAGGATTAATTGTTAAAGATAGGGTTTCTTCATTTCCATTTTACTTTCTAAAATAGTCCCTGTAGTACAGTAGGTTCACCGTTTGAGTTTTCTTTCTAATAAGACTTTTATCCAAAAAGAATACAATTATTCTAGGTGTAATTTTTTTGTTGAAATGTCTAAAGTTTGACTAAATATACAAGTGAAATATTAATATTTGTGACACTATATATTTATGTATAAATATATTCCATGACAAATCTAATGATATTTATTTTAGCTTGGTACTGTGTTAGAATTATATTCTTTTCTGGACAAAGGGAGTAGTTGGTAATTTTATTTTATCATTCATTTTACATGGTTGGTCCAAGCAAAATGGTGGGCAATTTTTGACAAGTCTTTCTATTTAGAGTTAGAGAAAAAATCAATCTATTTTCATTCATGGATAACCATTCATTTCATAAGAAGGCAGTGAAATAGTTTGTGGCGAGGCACATTTTTAGGTTTAGAGAACAAATACACAATAGTGATACTAAAACAAAAAATGGAATCTATGCTATGCAGACTTTGGGAGGAAACCTTACGTAAGTCAATGACAGGTTTTAGGGGTAGGTAAGTCAGTGATAGGTTCTAGGGGTGGAAATGAAAATATCCAGATTATACAAGTCTGTATCTGCTAAAAATTTTAATATGGATATATGTATCTGTATTCGTATTAATAATAGCGATAGTAAGTAGATATATTCCAATTGACTTTTCATCATTTCATTATTCGAATTCAAATCCGCATCGAAATAAATGTGGATCTAGATGGATATTTTGCATTTATTCCTATTCATGTAAAACAAAGCACTTAAATAAGACCTATGATAATTTTTTTATTTTGTTTGAAACTAATATATTTTATACAACTTTTATCAAATATGCTATTTTATTTCATTTATTAATTTAATATATATATATATATTTTGTATTATTTATTATTAAAATAATATCATTTCAAATATGTTATGGTTACCTAACAATCTTTTTGTGTGCATGCATTATATACTCATATCTGATCCGTAATTGAGTGTTTTATCATAGTTTCATTCTTCTACATAAATCATTTATAAGCAAATGGATAAGCTATCACCCAAATCATGGAGATATATGAATGCAACCCAAATTCAAACTATATGGTTGTTATCGCTGGCTATCGCTGGTAACGCCAGGTAGGCTTGATTAGGTAAAAAAGCAAATAGGTTGTCATTATTCGTCATTGTATTTGAGTTATCATGAGCATCATATGCATAATCATCATATGGGAGGGTCAGAAACACCCCTCCTCTCTATCTACCACTCTCATCCTTTCACTGTTGATGTTAATTACTTATGTTCATATGGTAACCCTAGTTACTCAGGTTTCATAAATAGAATATGATTAACTAAAATGTGTGCCTCAGTATGATCGGGTATAGCTTTTGAGCCTTGCATAAACTTGTGTTATACACTTATACTTGTTGAGTACGCTTGTGCTCACACTTGTTTAAATTCAACAAAATATCATATTGGTATTAGATGGTGGATCTTATAAGTTTTCTGAGGAGTTTCACAAGTGCAGGTGTGTGCTAGCTCCCCGATCAATCATCCCTATGGAGAATGGAAGCCGGAAGAGAAGATTAAGAATCATTTTGGTTGTGTTGTGCTAAAGGGTTGAACCTTACTATAATATGATTAATGTTATATAATAAACATTGTTCTCTAATTTTTTCCCATTTTTGCTGCTATATGTGTACTACAGACACTGTGGACACACATATGGCAAGTGATTGGTCTTCTTTGAAAAAACAGGTCCAACAATTTAGCAACCCAAATATTTGTTCTACGATCTCAGATTTTGAAATTTAGTTTTTTCAAATGATCTCAGATGTAGATAGTCTATAATTGTAGCTCTCAATGCCATCTATAGATTTGTACTAGATAAATTTTTTGTTTGAGATTATTTAGAAGCCCAAATGTTCTTTTTTTATATAGGTAAACTTAGCTTTTATAGGGAGCCCAAAAGGATCTGCTATCCAGGTAGCACATTACAACGATGACAGAAATAGAAAGAAAGAAACATGCTGGGGATACCAGCTTACACTCAGACCAAAGAGAACGAAGAACCTGATGCTACACGCCCAGAGAGCTAACCAAACAACAAATAAAACTAAGCCGCAACAGGCTGTGAAACAAAAGAAAGAGCAGCTAAATCAAGCCTTCAATTTCTAAGACTACTTCCAAAACACCTCCAACCAACCTTTCATGATGTTGAGTTTTCCCTCCAAGAATTTTGCATTGCCCGATCTCGGGAGAATCTTCCTTTTCTGCGTGAAATTAAATGTTTTAAAGAAAACCTCATTAGATGAGCTTGGGAATCTCTTTTCTATCCCCATTTTGTTTTCTGATATTGCAAATCGCCCAAAGCACAATAGCAAAGATGAAAAACTCTTGTAAGGACCTAGCTAGGTGTTCTATCCCACCCCAGCGCCTCCTTAAAACGAGCCCAAATAGTTCTAGCCAAAGCACACCCAAAGAAGATATGATCTTCATTTTCAGACTCCCCACACATATGACACTTCCCACTACCCCTCCACATCTTCTTTAAGTTGACCCCGGTTTGAAGTTTTAACATCACATATTTTGAAATATTTGAATTTTTTTCAAACAAACTTAGATGGAGACATACTCTATACCATGTTTGTAGCCTCAACGTGTTCTACAACTTTGTAGTTAACGATCTTGTTATTTGAGATCGTTTAGAGATGCAAATATTAATTTTAAGTCATCATATTTTGAAACTTAATGTTTTAAAACTTTTTGAACGACTTTGGATGGAGACACTTTATACCAATTTGTATCAATCGATGAGATCTAAAAAATTCTAGTTTATTTTTTTCATTTGAGACCATTAAGGAGCCCAAATATTCAATAACGATGACATGGCTAAAAATCGATGACATTAGTATAAGCTAATAAACTAGATGATACCATAAAAAGAAGAATACTTGCATTAGTGAACACACTTTAATTCCAGCGAGAGCCAAATCTTTGGGCAATAGTACAAAGAAATAGAACATCCTAGGTCAAATATATAGTTTTGCTAGGCCGCACAAATATTTCTAAGTAGGAAGCAATAAAAGTAACCAACAACAACGAAATATGATTTAGGTATAGCAATATGGATACGAAATATCCTAGGTGCAACGATACTACAGATTTGCAATGCTTCCTACTAATTTCAATACAACTAGGAAAACTAATGATTGACCAAAAGAAAAGGATGGCTATAGAAAGTATGTCTATGATGTAAGCATTGAACAAAAATGGGGTCATGGCATCGATGATCCCTTCACTTTATGTGCTTGAAACTATCAAATAAATTTGAAATAAATAATGGTACTAAGGATTTAGTAACAATCAAAGTGGAAAATGATTAAGAAGCCTAACTATCCAACCATATAGGCATTGCAAACACATGTGTGAACTTCTATGACAAACATATATTGTCATTAACAAGGTTATTCTTGTCATATATCTAATCTATGACTTCTCTATGATAAAAAACTATTGTCACAGAAGGTGCATATTTGAGCATCTACCATGACAAAAACATTAAAAACAGCATGGATTTTATGACAATCACATTTTTCATAATACAATTATGACGCTTTAAATCATCATAGAAAATTTCAAGTCGGTTGTCTACGATGTGGCACAAATATCATGACAAAATTAATCATCATGAGTTAGATTATAGCACAATTGGCCCATATAACAATTGCTTCCATGGGCTAAAATTAAACAAAACTTGAATAGGTAGTGCTCTACACACTAAAATGAGCAGTCGACATTCTAAAATGTCAATCTTGTGTATTGTGATAAATGTCGAGGAAAAGACATTGCTACTAATCTTGAACTTAATTTTCATTCTAGGTCACATATCAAAAGAAACAAACTACATTTCCATGTTTGGTGAGGTAAAAATAACCTTCATTCCACGATGAAATTAAGACAATTGCAGAACCATGGGTCCATCTTGTTTCTTTACAAACAAAAATAAACTAAAAAACTAAACAACCAGAGTGGAAATATTACAAGATCCAAAGGTAGATTCAATACCATTTCTTTTGTCTTCCAATAGTGCATCTTGATGATGCTACTCTACTTTGCTAGTTTGCCCTCTCATCTAGTGTATAGAGCATATAGATATTGTTTAATGTTGTTTACACTTTCATACTATCGGATTTATGGGCTCGATGTACCTTCACCGCCCATATATCTGATGCATGCCTGTCTACCGGGCCAAAGACGACAAGGGATGAGGCCCATGAAGTGCGAATCCACTAGCTTGGAGATCAAGTCATTCCGAGGATATCCGGTGCCATCGTATCCAGGCGATAGGATAGAATCATTCTATTGAGCATTTCATGTAACAAACTAGGAAGCAAATCTATTAACCGATCGGATCTACTATAACCCTACCCCCAGACTCTATAATGAGGGGTAAGGGCCTCTCGATCGGGATCCCATCTTCTACACTCTAGCGCATAGCTACACACAGCAACCCTTGTAACCAAGCATATGAATACAGAGAGCACTGCCTTCACACTGGACATAGGGCATGACAACATGTCTGAGC